CTCACTCACTTACTCATTCACTCACTCGCTCACTCACTCACTCATTCACTCACTCGCTCACTCACTCACTCATTCACTCACTCGCTCACTCACTCACTCATTCACTCACTCACTCACTCACTCACTCATTCACTCACTCATTCACTCACTCACTCACTCACTCACTCACTCACTCACTCACTCACTCACTCACTCACTCACTCACTCACTCACTCACTCACTCACTCACTCACTCACTCACTCACTCACTCATTCACTCACTCACTCACTCACTCACTCACTCATTCACTCACTCACTCACTCACTCACTCATTCACTCACTCGCTCACTCACTCACTCATTCACTCACTCACTCATTCACTCACTCACTCACTCACTCACTCACTCATTCACTCACTCACTCACTCACTCACTCACTCACTCACTCACTCACTCACTCGCTCTTTCACTCACTCACTCACTCACTCACTCGCTCACTCACTCACTGACTCAGAGCTTGTGAACCGAAAAGCTGCAGAAGGTTTCTTAAAACACCGTGGACCAAGAAGACGAAAAACTTCCACATCCTGCATGACCCGGACATCCAGGAAAACTGCCTGGTAAAAAGCATCGTCTCCTGAAAGTTGGAGTATTTAAGACATGTCAAGCCCTATGGTGGTCTGGAGAGAACGGAAAATAGATATAGTTTCTGGAAACAGGTAGAGGCCGACTCTAGTGAAGATGGATACATGACACGATCCAGGAAAATTGGCTGGAGAAATAGAGACCTTCAGGCAGACCGTGAATCGTGCGACGTCCTGTAAAGGACCTGCTAATTGATGATGATAGTGTTGCGACTTATGTGATCACAGTTGTCGAACGGAAAGAAATTCCGCTCTCCCGCCTCGTGCACTTCCCTAACCACGGTGTCACTTGTAGTCTGTTCCCATTTTCGTGCAGGACAACCCCTGCCCCTCTTTCATCAAATCAAGCCTTCTGTTTTCATTCCTTTCAGTTCCCCGTGAAGCTTAATATTTCAGTTGTTAGGACAAGATGCTGTTTACTAGCCTGTGTTCCCTGTGTTTTATATAGAGGTAATGCGTGATGACAGCTGTTGTATTTGGGTCACATCTGTCCAATAAATACTTGTTTCAAACAGGGTATCTTTTCTTGTCGGTCATAACTTGTCTTTCTTTTCTAACTCTCATTTGACGGACGAGGTGGGGATGGGGGGAGGGGTTGGGGAATAGACGCTGTGGGTATGTGAGGAGATCAAAGTCGTAGACAAATGATTTTTAAATAAAATTGCAAGTTGTGTATATGTGTGCGTACATTTGTAATCAATGTATGCTTAAACAACAAGAAATATGTTGTGCGCGTGTGTATGTATGCATGCATGCATATAATAGATGATGTCTTGCAGGCTGGCTTAAACAAACATGCTTCTCTTTATATAATGAACAGATCAGTTGACTGGCAAATTTCCCCTATTCCACGACGGAAGACTACTAGGAGTCTGGTCAGATATAGGATATAAAGGCCACGGGGATCTTCCCAAATGATAGTCTGTTGTATGTATCACGCGCAACTTTATTCAACCAACCAGTCATTTCTCATGGTTAAATGTTCGAATATACTACAAACTAAAGCACACGGGACATGTGTCCATGAGCCTGTTGTCTGTTCTGTTATCATATGTAACTCACGTAGATCTTAGGGCGCAGTTGTGGGGGCGCCAGGATCGAACCGCTGCCCTCTAACACCCATGCCGTAAAGCAGTGGGTCTCAACCCTCCTAATGCCGCCACCCTTTAATACAGTTTCCCCATGTTGTGGCGACCCACGAGCAATTATTTTCCTTTATAACTCAATGAACATGAATTTTGCGATGGTCTTGGGCGACCCATGTCATTCAACTACCAAAAAAGGGGGGGGGGGGTCACCCGCAGGTTGAGATCCACTGCCCTAAAGGGTCACTATTGAGGACATTGTTGAAATCGACAACATGGACCGATAATCGGAAATATCGCAGACAAGCTGTAAACACATACGGTTGGGTCGACCTGAGAGCCAATGTCATTTTGAAAAAAGTCCACCGGTACCGTCAGGACTTGAACCCACGACATTCCGACAGAAAGGGGAGAGCCCAGCCGCTGCACCGCGACGTCTCCTAAAGTTATGTGTGTAATGACTAAATGTGTTGCCGAGTAATTAATTACTAATCTTCATTAAACACAGTTAGCTGGAGCGGTAAACTTATCCGAACTAACTGGGTCAGGCTTTGGGTTGTTGCAGATGGTTCACCTGACCTTGCTGAAGGTCGCATTGAGACATACAGTGTCCTAACAGGCTACTGTTAATTGTTATCTGCAAATGCTGCCTGCCTGTGTGTACAATTTGTTGCCGGTAAGAATATGATAGATTGATTATGATTATGTTTAATTCTTTTTCTGTTTTTTTTTTTTTTTAATCCCTCGCTTGTGCCTCTAACTATAGTCATCATCATCAAGTGCCTTGCTAGCTGGCGAAGGCGTTCATGCGTCGCCATAGATCTCAGACTTTGGTGTGCTAGATCAGTTCTACTGATGATATTCCTCCATGCCACTATCTTGGGTCATCTATCATCGTTTCTCTTGGTCTGCCTCTACCAGAGAGCTTTCCAGTCATCACAATATTTCCCAGTGCTCCTTTCCTCATCACGTGACCAAAGAACTTTGTTTGTCTCCTTCTCATTGTTGTAAATAATGTTCTACTTTCATTAGCCATTTCCACGCAATCATTGTTATTTGTTCTGGTAGCCCAAAGTATTCCCAACATTCTTCTCAAGAACCACGTCTCGGTTACCTCCACACTCTTCCTAATCTGTTTGCTCACATTCCAAGATTCACTGCAACACAACATAACAGGCTCGATATAACATTTCAATGCTCATTTTTACATATCGTCCATCTGATGTTATGAATGTTCCGAAATACTTGAATTTATTGACTTGGTTAGGCATTTGCTCTTCTTTTGCTATGTCACATTTTGGAGTTATATCTTCTTCTTTTATCCATCCGGTGTGGTGTCATCCATTGTTTCTGCTCTCTTTATATTCAAGGAGAGTCCCTTTTTTTATTGTCCAGTAGAACAATGTCTAAAAGCTATTGTAGGTCTTCTGCGTTTTTAGCTTTTAATAATGTATCATCTGCATAACGAAGATTGTTTATATTATTACAAGTATAACCTACAACTAGTATTCCTAGTCTATCCTTGATCTTCCTCATTATTATGTCACCATAGAGAAAGATAAGATCTGATGACAAAACACATCCTTGTTTCACTCATTGATTTATCAATTGATTGAGCTGTTTTTTCGCCAAACGCTAGTCCTACTCATCTTTCATGTTTCCTACCACCTGAATATGTTATTGTATTTTTTTACCAGATTTCCTCCATCTCATCTCATTAATTCCCAGGATGTTGAGTTTTATCTGTTTCATTGACTGTAAGACATTTTTCTACTTTCCCTAATTCTGCTACTGTTCGAACATTCCAGGCTCTTAATCTAAATCTATTATGTGAGTTCCGTCCTCGGTAGTCCGATGAGGGTCTGATGAAACCTGTAGCTAGTCCTACCGGACGAGGCTGTAGAACTGAGTCTGTGAATTTTATATGAATGCTTATGGGAAAACAATGTAGTGGTTTACCGTTGACTTCCACATCCACTTGGATGTCTTTTACCTCCACCTTTGACAATAATTTCCGACTGCCAGGGGTAATTAAGTGCCCTTCTCTGCTGAGCTGCAGAGTTGTCCGCTAATTCCGGTGGATACCAGAGCCGCGTTTTCTTCACCCGCTCGGATGTGTAGTTGGGATTTTCCCTTCACTGAGTTATGAGACCATAATGTCATTTCCCAAAACTCGCTGGTATTTCAGGTAGTTTTTGGAAACGCCAATATGGTCTCATAGTATAATTATAACCTGCGACGCTTCAGGTCAAGAGATGATGGGTATATAGGGCACGCTCGGTGGCCTAGTGTGCTGTGATGTTGTGGAATCTCAAGATATCAGTTTCTTCTTTAGGCGATCTTCTTCTTGCTCGTCCCAGCCTCTTTGTGTGTCTACTTTCATGTTTGTACACTTTTGCGACGATTCATTCTTGGCAGGTGCCAAACTAGCTGTTCCTTGTTTTTTTTACCGTTTTTCTATAAGGATCAAATCAATAGTTAATGTGAAGTTCATTTTCACGCGATCTCGATTTTGTTAACGACCGTTAGTGAAACGTTTACCTCGCCCTCTGAAAGGTCGTGTTTCGTGTCACGGCTGCATAGTAATGTTACCTAGGGCAATTTTGACGGATATCCATTTGGATAGTTGCCGGAGCTACGGAGTTCTTACTTTTGCGACGCTCTATGCAGGTGTCTAGCTGTTCTATATAGATACCAAATCATATGGGCCCCCGGTTCGGTGAAGTCGGCCTAATAAAAGTTGGTTCCGAAATGTGTTTGACTGTTTTGTTGACTTGATTTTAACATCTAATTAATTGGCGGGCCACGGACCAGATTTGGCCCCCGGAGGCCATAGTTGCCCAGTGTCAGTTTTCAAAACTTTGGACCCTGAGTAAACTGATTGGAATATCCCCGGGTTTAAGTTCCATCTCAGATGCATGCGATTTGGCAGCAGACCGTCTTGCGTTGATTTAGAGAGTGACATTGAGATTAGACTGTTCAATATCAATGGCAAACTACTGAACGTTTACTGTGGCTAGAAAAACCAACACAGCCAAACAATGCTGGGGTTGGTTCTGCAACGTCCTGTAAAGGATACCCAACTAACTTAGATTATTCCTAAAAACAGAGACATCCACTCTGGAACCTTTATGTTGACGATATTTCATATTCTGTGTTCTGTTTACTAATCAAAAATCAAAATGATGAACTAACTGACCATCCCTTTAGGGTAAAGATGTAATCTAGAGCTGCACTTTAGTGTTAATGTATGTTAATTTTTGCAGATTTCCTAGGTCAAAATTATCACAAAATGGGAACGAGACTGGTGGCTGTCATCTTTCTAGCTGTGTGTACTCTCAGCTGTTTCCACGGAAATCAGAACTTTGTGTCTGCAGGTGGCGGTGATGGCGATGACGAAGAGATTAAACTTCAGGACGGCGACAAAGATTTTCTCTTTGATACTTTCCCAAAGGGTTTTCTTTGGGGTGCAGCTACAGCAGCCTACCAGGTGGAGGGAGGGTGGAACGAGGATGGTGAGTAGGGGACTTGTGGTTTGAGGCTAGCAAAGAGGGAATCTATAGCGCAGAGTTCATGCCAGGGGGTTGAGGCTAGCAAAGAGGGAATCTGTAGTGCAAAGTTTATGGCTGAGGTTTGAGACTAGCAAAGAGGGAATCTATAGTGCAAAGTTCATGCCCGGGGTTTGAGACTAGCAAAGAGGGAATCTATAGTGCAAAGTTTATGGCCGGGGTTTGAGACTAGCAAAGAGGGAATCCACAGCGCAAAGTTTATGGCTAAGGTTTGAGGCTAGCAAAGAGGGAATCTATAGCGCAAAGTTCATGCCCGGGGTTCGAGACTAGCAATGAGGGAATCTATAGCGCAGAGTTCATGGCCGGGGTTTGAAATCAGAAGGGAAAACAAGCAAATCGGTAGTTTGCTAGCTGAGTGCTATAGCGTGTGCAATGTGTGTGTGTGGGTTTGTGACTGTGTGGTATCTATGTGTGAGCATGTGCCGGGGTTTGTATGTCAGAATTTGAAAACAAGAATCGGTAGCAACGAGGGAATCGGTAGCAAAGAGGGAATCTATAGCGCAGAGTTCATGGCCGGGGTTTGCTTGCAAAGAGGGTGTATAGCGCAGAGTTCATGCCAGGGGTTTGACGCAAACATTTTATAAAAATCCAAAATGGTAGCGATCAGGACACTTTGGAAGACTGGCTGACTACAACAAAAACTAGTGACCCCGCCAAGCCTTCTACCAGTGGTGAAAGACTACAATCTGAAACACCAAAAAATTTCCTTATATTATCATAGAAGATAAACTCACCTTGGAAACAATCATCTCTTTAAAGAAAAAACGTGCTCTTCCTAATTCTATGTGCTAGTTTACCATCAAGAAACAGTAAAATCTAATCTAATTCTATGTGCTAGTTTACCATCAAGAAACAGTAAAATCTAATCTAATTCTATGTGCTAGTTTACCATCAAGAAACAGTAAAATCTAATCTAATTCTATGTGCTAGTTTTACCATGTGGAAACAGTTAAAATCTAATGTGTAATTCTATGTGTGTGTGTAGTTTACCATCAAGAAATTTTATAAAAATCTAATCTAATTGCTATGTGCTAGTTTTACCATCAAGACAACAACAAAAAACTAATCTAATTCTATGTGCTAGTTTACCATCAAGAAACAGTAAAATCTAATCTAATTCTATGTGCTAGTTTACCATCAAGAAACAGTAAAATCTAATCTAATTCTATGTGCTAGTTTACCATCAAGAAACAGTAAAATCACAGTTTGTGTAACTCCTTTATTTATGTTTATATTCAAATACTATCATCATATGTCATTATATGTGTATTAAGGAGAATACATTAAAAAATTTAAGTATGTTGGAGTCGAACCGTTCATGTAATTGGAACGTCGTCTGGAAACGGATTATGTTCGAATTCTGAGCTACCACGGTGTGTTCGTATGTCTACACTCGGTTAACATGAACACAATTTGGTTGAACGCATCAATGCATTATTATTAGTCGCCGGTTAGCATGAATTTCTTTAACACGAATTCAGTTATCGCTGCAATGGATTTTGTGTTAACGAGATCTTACCGCACATACACACACGCACACACACAGACGCACACACACACACACACACACACACACACGCGCAGACGCACGCATACACACACACACACACACACAGTTACACACACACGCCAGCACGCACACACACAGACACACACATACACAAACGCAAGCACACACACACAGACTCACACACACGCGCAGACGCACGCACACACACCCACATATGACATGTTGCAGGCAAAGGCACCAGTATCTGGGACACGTACGTCAGCGAGCCGGGCAAGATCCTCAATGGCGACGACGGAAAGGTGGCCTGTGACAGCTACCACAGATACCAAGAGGACGTGAAGATGCTGAAAAGTTTAGGGGTAGGTTCTTTTGTCGCTCTTTGTCCTCAGGTACGATCAATAAGTGCAATCAGATGCCGTCTCAACAATAAAGTTTGGCTGTAATGAATCTGCAACACACTCTGTCTCTTGTCCTGGTTTTACTCTCTTTCGCTGACCTGCGTATATCCAAATGCTGATATTATCATTCCACTTATATCGTTGTTCACCTCTTGTCTTTTGTCTCGACCTTTTCTCTCCGTTTGGCTTTTCATAATGTGGCCAGAATGTATTACTGATTATTGTTCGTTAGATCTCACAGTAGCCCTCCATTAACTCGCATTATTTCCAGAACCCCGGTATTTGACTGTTTTTGTCTGATAGGAAAAGCTGTACTGGAATTTTAGACTTTAGGAAATAATATTTACGTTGCTTGTTGGTCTATGTATTTATCAGGTTAAAGAATGGCGCTTCTTTTGGATCGAGCGGGTCATAGATTAAGGAGTATTCGAAAACACATAATCGCTAAGCCGTTTTATTAGATATATTAGTTTGTAAGGTTGTTCCCCCCCCCCCCCCCTTTTTTTTTTTAGTCCCTGCGGTGTGAGGTTATTAGTCATGTCTATTCACAATTTCTGTCTCGTGTTTTAAATAAATTTTGACAGATGATCTTCCAAAGTCCATATCGTGTAGCGCTGGTAGTCGTATCTGTCCACAACTTTGTATCTCGTGTACGTTCAATCAAATCACACAGAGATGATCGTCCATGCCATGATGTCAACTGTGTAACATCTTCTCTGTTGCTTTCCCTCTGCCTTCTGTCCTCTCCAATTTTTCCCGGTGTTACGATAAACTCCAATGTCCTGTTTCTCATCACATGACCAAAGAATTTAGGTTGTCTCCTTTTCGTGTGCGCAATCAGTTCTCTTCGTGAGTCAGTTTCTATCCAGACATCTTCATTGTTTTCTGTCCACGGTATTCTCATCATTCGTCTATAAAACCAGATCTCCCCAGCTTTCAGGATTGTAAGAGTTTAACTGTAGTAATATTAAAAATATATATATTACATCTTTTCGTTAGGGTTTCTTCATCACCATCATAATAATGATTTTCATCAAAAAGTGTCGTGATTGCTGACGTAGGCGATCATACCTCGCCAACAGAGTGTATCAGCTCGCGATCTCCAACAACATGTATCAGTTCGTGATCTCCAACAGCATGTATCAGTTCGTGATCTCCAACAGCATGTATCAGTTCGTGATCTCCAACAGCATGTATCAGTTCGTGATCTCCAACAGCATGTATCAGTTCGTGATCTCCAACAGCATGTATCAGTTTTCGTGATCTCCAACAGCATGTGTATCAGTTCGTGGATGATCATGTATCAGTCGCGATCTCCAACATCATGTATCAGCTCGCGATCTCCAACAACATGTATCAGTTCGTGATCTCCAACAGCATGTATCAGTTCGTGATCTCCAACAGCATGTATCAGTTCGTGATCTCCAACAGCATGTATCAGTTCGTGATCTCCAACAGCATGTATCAGCTCGCGATCTCCAACAACATGTATCAGTTCGTGATCTCCAACAGCATGTATCAGTTCGTGATCTCCAACAGCATGTATCAGTTCGTGATCTCAAACAGCATGTATCAGTTCGTGATCTCCAACAGCATGTATCAGTTCGTGATCTCCAACAGCATGTATCAGTTCGTGATCTCCAACAGCATGTATCAGTTCGTGATCTCCAACAGCATGTATCAGTTCGTGATCTCCAACAGCATGTATCAGTTCGTGATCTCCAACAGCATGTATCAGTTCGTGATCTCCAACAGCATGTATCAGTTCGAGTGTTTCCTATACTTCCATGCCACACACAAAATGCTGGCAAGAACCTTCTCTGGTTGATTACTTGTTGTAAAATCACATATTCGTCAAATTAACTGAGTTCGTTTGTTGTAAAATCACATTATTCGTCAAATTAACTGAGTTCGTTTGTTGTACAATCACATAATTTGTTGAATGAATTGAGGTCTCCTGTTGTAAAATCAAATTTTTTGGGGTTGAAATAAATAAGTTCGTTTGTTACATTATTTGCTAAACTGAGAACGTTTGTTGCAAAATCACATTGTTAAATATTTGTTAAATCACATTGTTAAATATTTGTAAAATATTTGAGTTAGTTTGTTGCAAAATCACATTATTTGTTAAATAATTTGAGTTCCCATTGTTTGTTAAATTAATTGAGTTCGTTTGTTGCAAAAGCACATTTGTTGTTAAATTAATTGAGTTCGTTTGTTGTAAAATCACATTGTTTGTTACATTATTAGAGTCCGTGTGTTGAAAAATCACATTATTGGTTAAATTAATTGAGTTCATTTGTTGCAAAATCACATTATTTGTGAAATTAATTGAGTTCGTGTGCTGCAAATCACATTATTTGTTAAATTAATTGAGTGCATTTGTTGTAGAATCACACTATTTGTTAAATTAATTGTGTTCATTTGTTGTAATGATCACATTATTGGTTCAACTAACTAAGTTCGTTTGTTGTAAAATAACATTTTTTGTCAAATTAATTGAGTTCGTTAGTTGCAAAATCACATTTTTGTTAAACTAATTGAGTTTATTTATTTTAAAATCGCAGTATTTGTTACATTACCTGAGTTCATGTTTTTTTTTTTTTTTTGTAAAATCCCATCATATGTTACATTAGTTGGCTATAATTCATGTGTTGTAAAATACTGTCATTTGTTTTATTATTTCGCAACAGTTCATCTGTCATCAAATAAGATTGTTCCGTTAAAATTATTTGTTGTCACAGGTCAGCCACTACAGGTTTTCTATTTCCTGGCCGCGGATTCTGCCAGATGGCACGACTGGGTTTATCAACCGTGCTGGCGTAGACTATTATCACAGGTTAGTTTTGGCAATGTTTGTCGCCCGTACTTGTGTAAACAATCTGGCATGTACCGCTTTCGGTCCCAAGCGTTTGTCTTCTCTCAACAGCTAATGGCCAAACAGTCGGTGTTGATGCTGAACACAACGTCCACATTGTGTCATCAGCACCAGATTCGCATTCCGCCAATAGCGTATAGAAGAACCTTATGGTTCTCCTGAATCCCTAAGCCTTCTTCCATTTTAAATCCGACGACGTCATCAATTAGCAATCAAGTCCTTCACAAAACATGACTCTCTTCACGGCACCTTGAAATTCCCTTTCTCTAGCCCAGTGATTCTCAAACTGTCCGCTGCGGTGCCCCGGGGAGGCGCGACCTCTTCACATGGGCGCCGCGAAATATCCAGAGATACATGTTTTATTTGTTTTGATCTCTTACAAACGAATAGTCATGCTTTTACTTAGGTTAGGGCGCCGTGGACAATTTTTTAATGAAATAAGGCGTCGCGACAAAAAAAAGTTTGGAGAACACTGCTCTAGGCAATTCTCCAGCCATATGTGCTTTCATAGCTTGTGTGTTTTCAATATCCTGTATCCACGTTCGCGGAGGTCTGCGTCTGCCACATTTTCTGATCTCATACCGGTAAGATAAATAAAAGCCTGTAAAACATACCCAGGGTGTCGCCGTAGTTTAGCGGTTAGACGCTCGCATGCAGATCCAAAGATTGTGGGTTCGAGTCCTGACTGAGCCTGACTGTTTTTTAACAATGACCCTAACTCCTAGGTGGGTACCAGTACAAGCCTGGGAATAAAAGGAGACGTGATACATGGCCCACCAAGTGCCGATTAGTCTATAAAATATAGATCGAGCCCTGAATGCCCAGAACGCTTGAAGGCGTGTAAAAGGGTCATTTACTTTTTTAAACTATTAAAATATAATCAAGCTAGGCCTAATGTTACACAGTCCGTGTGTGTTGTGTTTTAGTATGACCTGATTGTATCCTATCTCATAACGAATGCCTAATGAAAGTGATGAACCATCTGAAGAATTAAAAATAAGTGATACAATAACAGAGAGAGGACTGGTCAACCACATGTAGCAGTTATAATTTCAAGAAGATTGCCCTACACTGGGTTCATACTCAGACGAAGCGATCAGACAATCACTAAACAAACACTGTCTGGTTTTTCCCTCTCCTCCCTTGCAGGATTGCAGTCCGTAGAATTGACATTACAAGGACGAGAATTAAACCGGGATACCTCGTTCAACCGTATAGCACAGTTATATGGAGATGATAGTGATGATGATGATGTATATACCTGACCGCTGATGTTGAGTCTTGATGTCTATCCCGCGTGCATCGCTGGCTCGTGTTTTTGGGGAAGAGGAAGGATACATCTGTGCTAACACAGTCACTGGGTATATATGTCTGTTGGCGCCAGTTCAGTATGAATGTCTCTTTACAAACATCATCCCGCGAGATGCAAGGCGTCTTCTTGACTAGAATCAACTAAACACCAGTCTGTTAGACCTAGAGTTAAACTCATTGTTTTGTCGAGGAATCACAAACAAAGCGGTCGGTGATGCAGCGAAACGCAAAAACAACGTTAGTGAGTGATCGTCAGAGAAGAGGTAAATAACAAGAATATATATATATATATATATATATATATATATATATATATATATATATATATATATATATATATATATATATTGGTGGATATAACAAGTTTTGAAATTAGTGATATTGTAAATAACTTCTACTGTTATAGAAAATATATTAATGAATACAAATCACGTACGATTTGTGAACGCAGTTCAACAATCCTAACATATCTGGGTTTGTAGTCAGCTGCAGTTGATTTTGTTTCAGCCATCTTTGGTTTGATTTAAAACCTATTTGAGCATGTGGCTGTTCATAAAGCAGTGGCAAACTACTGAATGCAAATTACCTAGTAAAATTCACACACAGACAATTAATGCTCAAGTTGGTTCACGATGTCCTGAAAATTGTAAGCAATTAACCTGTTTAACACGATCATAGCTCATCTCTGCTATTGTAATTCCAGGTTGATCGACGAACTTAAAAACAACGGGATTGAACCAATGATCACAATCTATCACTTTGATCTTCCCCAAGCGCTGGAGGACAAGGGCGGTTGGCTTAACGAGGACATTGTGGAGTACTTCAGGAACTACTCTGACGTGGTTTTCCGAGAATTTTCCGGGAAGGTAAGATCAATTATACAAAGTTTCTCGTTATAGCAGGGAAAGTCAATAAGTCAGTCACAAATGATTGTTTAAAAAAAAAATAAAGACGATAACTACTTGAAAACCGTTAATTTTTACACAAACACCGTCCTTTTTATTTTTCAACATAATTGCCACCAACATTGATGCACTTTTCCTATCATTTTATATGTCCATTAAATACATTTAAAACAGTTAATAACAATCCCGCAAACATTCCATATATGAGTTGAGTTCCATTTTATGTAAACGGAATCTTCTGTCAGTGGATGTTTGCATATTTAAGGTGAGGTTCTGGATCACCATCAACGAGCCATTTGTGACTGCCCATGAAGGATATGGCTACGGCCGGTCTGCCCCTGGTCGATTTGGTCCAGGCACCAATATGTATGTTGTCACACACAACCTCATCAAAGCCCACGTGGCCACATACCACCTCTACAACAACACCTACAGACGGCTGAGCCCAGACGGTGCAGGTAAGTTGGGCAATTTAAGTCTGTGTAATCTTCTTCTGAGAGTTCACCAGCTGTAAACTCTAGCTAAAAAGTTTTGATAGCTCGTCCATTTTTGGACTTATTATTTTTTTTAAACAGTATTAAGTTGCTATGATGTTCATTGCGCACTTCTAAAGGGTTATTGGCTGTTACTGAATGTTTCCCAAGTCTCTTCTAACGCACTCAAGAAATATATTTTTTTCTAACGAAGTTTAACTCTCGGCCATGTAGTAAACTTTGTCTTCACACGCTGCAGTGCTTTCCTCTTTGACCTGTCGGCTCAACGCCTGTGTCCGGACTCCTCGACCCTCTCACTCACTCCTTTTTGCCTTTTCCTGCTTCTCTCCCCTCTTCTCCAAGCTTACCTATTTCTCACTCCCGTCTGTCAACATGCCTTCCCAGCACCCCACTTCTTGGTTCATCTCATCTCCTTGCTTTATCTACCGGAAAGACTAATATGATTTCTAAAGCACAATCAAAAACCAGATGAGATGAAGATCAGAAACGCCACCACAAATATAGCAGACATGAAAGAGAGCAGCAATGCAATCTCACCTAGCTGAAAGTGGTCAACGATAAATGATCGATTGATTGATATGATTTCTCTGTCTGTACCAGCTGTTCATAGAAGTTCCGGTTGTCATGGCAAAGCATTCGATGTTCCTATAAAATCTCAAGCTGGTCCTGACACGTCTCACTTCGTGCGTGTTCACCTCCTGACCGCTGCTTTCTGACAATTGATGACCTATCCAGGTCACATTTTATGTCTTTTATTGCATCCCCGGATGACACTTTCTGTCATCTATGCCATCCCCAGGTCAAATGTAATGTCATTTTAAAGAGCTTTTTAAGTCAGATCGATGTAACACTCAGTTTTATTTATGATACCTCAAGGTCACACGATATTTTATCTGTCTTACTCCCCAAGTCAAATCGGTATCTCACTGAATGTCATCTGTCTTACTACCCAGGTCAGATCCCTATCTCACTGAATGTCATCTGTCTCACTCTCCAGGTCAGATCGGTATCACACTGAATGTCATCTGTCTCACTCCCCAGGTCAGATCGGTATCACACTAAATGTCATCTGTCTCACTCCCCAGGTCACATTGGTATCACACTGAATGTCATCTGTCTCACTCCCCAGGTCAGATCAGTATCACACTGAATGTCATCTGTCTCACTCTCCAGATCAGATCGATATTACATTGAATGTCATCTGTCTCACTCTCCAGGTCAGATCGGTATTACACTGAATGTCATCTGTCTCACTCCCCAGGTTAGATCTGTATCTCACTGAATGTCATCTGTCTCACTCCCCAGGTCAGATGGGTATCTCACTGAATGTCATCTGTCTCACTCCCTAGGTCAGATCGGTATCACACTGAATGTCATCTGTCTCACTCCCCAGGTCAGATCGGTATCTCACTGAATGTCATCTGTCTCACTTCCCAGGTCAGACCGGTATCACACTGAATGTCATCTGTCTCACTCCCCAGGTCAGATCGGTATCACACTGAATGTCATCTGTCTCACTCCCCAGGTCAGATCGGTATCACACTGAATGTCATCTGTCTCACTCCCCAGGTCAGATCGGTATCACACTGAATGTCATCTGTCTCACTCCCCAGGTCAGATCGGTATCTCACTGAATGTCATCTGTCTCACTCCCCAGGTCAGATCGGTATCACACTGAATGTCATCTGTCTCACTCCCCAGGTCAGATCGGTATCACACTGAATGTCATCTGTCTCACTCCCCAGGTCAAATCTGTATCTCACTGAATGTCATCTGTCTCACTCCCCAGGTCAGATCGGTATCTCACTGAATGTCATCTGTCTCACTCCCCAGGTCAGATCGGTATCTCACTGAATGTCATCTGTCTCACTCTCCAGGTCAGATCGGTATCACACTGAATGTCATCTGTCTCACTCCCCAGGTCAGATCGGTATCACACTGAATGTCATCTGTCTCACTCCCCAGGTCAGATCGGTATCACACTGAATGTCATCTGTCTCACTCCCCAGGTCAAATCTGTATCTCACTGAATGTCATCTGTCTCACTCCCCAGGTCAGATCGGTATCTCACTGAATGTCATCTGTCTCACTCCCCAGGTCAGATCGGTATCTCACTGAATGTCATCTGTCTCACTCCCCAGGTCAGATCGGTATCACACTGAATGTCATCTGTCTCACTCCCCAGGTCAGATCGGTATCACACTGAATGTCATCTGTCTCACTACCCAGGTCAGATCGGTATCTCACTGAATGTCATCTGTCTCACTCTCCCCAGGTCAGATCGGTATCACACTGAATGTCATCTGTCTCACTCCCCAGGTCAGATCGGTATCACACTGAATGTCATCTGTCTCACTCCCCAGGTCAGATCGGTATCACACTGAATGTCATCTGTCTCACTACCCAGGTCAGATCGGTATCTCACTGAATGTCATCTGTCTCACTCCCCAGGTCAGATCGGTATCACACTGAATGTCATCTGTCTCACTCCCCAGGTCAGATCGGTATCACACTGAATGTCATCTACGCAGTCCCCAAGAACAGTTCGGACTCCAGCGATCTGGAGGCAGCAGACAGGGCGATACAGTTCCAATTAGGGTTTTTTGCCAATCCGATTGTCGCAGGTATGTACCGTCGTCAAGTCTCCACTCCAGAAACGATATTGTTTGTGTCAGCTCAGTTGCTTAAGTGGTCACTACAGAAAAAAATTTTTTTTTCACTTACAATGTTAGACCAATTATTTTATAATGGACATTTGTAGGGATGTATGTTGATACATTTGTAGACTTCAAGTGTAAAAAAACATGGTTGCTATGGCAACAGTCGCCATCTTGATGAAAAAACAACCTGTACTTAGACAGCTAAAATTTCAAAAACAAACAGAGGTATTGAGAAACAAATGATCGATTCATGAACTTTAAACTTATGTTTAGGGTCAGGTCTAGTTTATTTACTTGAAAGATGTTTTCAAATATTTTTTTTTTTACAATATTAAAATTTTGGTATGTTGAAAAAATATCAAAATGTAGCTTTTTCAGATAATAATCAGATTTTGTCAACACCTTCAGACTAATCGGGTATATAAGGCTACAGCTTCATTTTACACACTATCGGCACCCAGTGGGGAATGTGTTAATATCGCAAAACCGCCTTTACTTCCCATGACTTAACCTGATACCCATTCAAGGCTAGGTCGACCTACGGGAAAAATTGTCCTGCTCCGCTAGGACCTGAACCCCTGACGTTCAGATAAACAGTCAATCGTCTAGCCGCTACACCGCGAGAGCTCACTCAGCTGCTGTAGCTTTAGATTTAAAATCCCATCCCCCCAAAAAGATATTATGTTTGTTATTTTTTTTTCTTTTGCATGACATGTTTGGATCTAAAATTGTCACTCGAGGTACAATTCAACGTTTGTGTTTTCATTTTTTGAACAGGGGATTACCCAGAAGTCGTCAAGTCAACTATTTTAGACAAGAGCAGACAACTTAGGTTGCCGATGTCTAGACTACCCAGTTTCACACCGGATGAAGTAGCGTTCAATAAAGGTACCATCCACAATATTAGGTAATAATTGTCTGGCACAGTGGACTCCAACATTTTCAGGTACCGCACATCCCGATCACCCAACCTCTTTGAGTAAATGGCATGTCCCCTCCCACTTCGGGTCCCTTTCCCACAACAAAAACTGGTGCTTTATTATTATCCTACCTCGCCCCCCCCCCTCCAGATGACGTCACAGGACACTCCAACCTTTTAGAGGGTGGTAAGACTGTGTTTCCCGGCTTTCTGATGCTTTTAATAACCCCAAAACATCCAGAACTGGCCCTAACCCCAACCCACCTTCGTCCCACAAGAGAGTGCAGCCTCGGTCCCACGACTTTATGCAGCACATCCACCACTCCCTTAAATATTACACTGTCCTGTGATCTGTGGATTTCCCCTGTTGTGGTAGGATAATAATAAAGCACCAATTTGAAGGGGAAAAAAGAGGGCAACACAAAAATTCTCTTGCACTGTTGACAAGAACATTGAGGAAAAACCTGCACACAAATAAAAGTAACAATGCCCAACAACTGCTAATTGTGTGTTGGAAAATCATCGTGATTGGTGACACTGCTTTACCTTGACCATATCTGTTATTTGTAGTCTGATGTTGGAGCAGGCACAACAGAGATCACTCTCCACATCAAGCCGGCGATGCTGTTTTGTTTTCATAACTGTTAAAGCTAAAAAATCCAGATAGCTTGCCTTGAAAGAAACTGTGCCTTTCACCTGATCTTTCACTTCGGGCACACTACTATTTAATGTGTTAATAATATCTAAATGTTTTCTGTGCTTATCTCATCTTATCCCAATCATTGACGGCACTTTTTACATTTTTCTTTAGTGTCTTGAATTATGAGAGAACAATCCTTGTATTATTTTCGAACCTTCTAAAACACAAGTTTATCGTGTAGTCCTAATAACTGGTAGTTTCAATACATTACGTTTTCTGCAGTAATATATTACTGGTCAGCAGAATTCCTAGTCTGATAAGTACGGGGTTGAATGGTACTTGTCTGATGCAAGTTAGAGAATTTAAATATCTAGGAAGTATATTCTCGGACGAGGTGAGAAAAATAAACAAAATAGCAGCGAGCCAGTTTACTTATATACCAAGTGACACGGTTACTAAGACACCCAAGCATAAGTATGAGCGCCAAGAAACAGATTGTAAACAGCATATTCATACCAACACTGTGCTACCAGTGCCAGACATGTAAATTATCAAAGGCTAACCTAGGTAAAATATTAAAACCTCTGAAATGAAATGCCGTAGAAAAGCCGCCAACTTAACCATCCGAAACAAAGTTAGAAATTATATTATCAGACAGACTGTAGGAACAGCCTTCTGCAGCTAATTCACTGAGAAACAGATGATCAAATGGTTTGGCCACTTAGTAAGAATGCAACCAAAACAACTACCAACGCTGACAATACACATGAACAGAATAAATGTGAAACCAAGAGGTGGACCTAGGAAAATATGGATCAATGCCATTAAAGAGCTTCTACTTTAACACGGAATGACAACCATTGCTGCCCATCAAGCAACGGATTGCAAATGTTCCTCCCCACATCGCTTAACGGCAGAAATTGAAACATGATAACATGAAAACATGACAATAATATACATCACTTGTTTTATCCCTCCTAATTCATACAATTTTTTATATCTTTTTCATTTTAATTTCACGGCTTCAAAAACTATTTCTGATGCTTCCAGGCAGCACCGACTTTCTGGGTTTGAACTACTACCGGTCCATTGTTGTGGCGCCATATGTGTCTACTTCCAATTCGACAAATTATGATGAACTGTTAGGAGCTGCTCCTGAAACAGGTGCAGAAAATAAGTAGGTCACTTGATCAATTTGCTTGGCGTAGACTGCATAGTTCCCAAAAGCTTAACAATTCACACTTTTTTTTACTCTATATTTTCATAGCTCTATTTCCGACACGTTACTCTGACATATGCTATGTAATTTTGAAAAGAATGTTAGGAGAGAGAGATAGAGAAAGAGAGAGAGGGAGAGAGAGAGAGAGAGAGAGATAAAGGACACAGAGAGTCGTCATTAAATAACATAAAGATTAAAGTACTGTGATAAACAGGCTATCTGTGGTCAACAGGCTATCTGTGGTCAACAGGCTATCTGTGGTCAACAGGCTATCTGTGGTCAACAGTCTATCTGTGGTCAACAGGCTATCTGTGGTCAACAGTGAAAGGAAAAGACCAATAGGGAATAGGCATAATATTAACAAGGAGAAGAAAAAGGAGAATGAGTAGAAGAAAAGGAGGAGAAGAAGGAGGGAAAGAGAGGGAAAGCGAGGAGATAAAGCAAATGAAGATCAATAGCAATAATAACAGGAACAATTGGAACAAGAAGTAATACGAACATTGTAACTATCAATGGTGCTATGGATTGCTGTCGCTGTGCTGAAATCTCAAAGTGTAATCTTTAAAAGAAAATCAGCAAAGATGGCGGTGGCCGTATACGGTGAAGCTGTTTCTTTAGAAAGATCATGTACAACTGACCTACGTACGTTGTTACTGACATATCGTTTTCAGACCTGGTAGGAACCCATTGCTGAATTATCCCCTGGGGTACCGAGGACTTCTCAACTGGATCAAAGACAAATACAACAATATCCCCGTGTACCTCACAGAGAATGGGCTCTCTGATACAAACGGGACCTTGGAAGATGCTCACAGAATCACCTATTATCGTCAGCACATCAACCAAGTTCTGAAAGGTAAGACAAATGTCATCAAACGACCAAATAGACAACAGACAAGGGTGTAATTTTTAGGCAGGCTAATGCTTCTCCTAACGTTTACTATGCTCATCAGTTCGCCTGAATGTGCAAGGTAATGTTGCCAAGCACTGGTCTAATAAAGAGAACAGAAGTAGAGCAGCAACCTGGTTAGAAGGTCCTTGGTTTTGATCCCTCTTTCTCTGTGCGAGTTTTGAGGCCCGATTTTGAAAGGGGGTGCCGGCGGGGGTAGGGGGGAGGGGGGGGAGAGATAAACATACTGCCCCCAGTGTTGACTGATTCACGGCCCTTGACAATGTGACCTATAGTTGTCGGGAAATTCCAGCCTGTGACTTAGGTAGGTGGGTGGGTAAGTAGGTAGGTAGGTAGGTAGGTAGGTAGGTAGGTAGGTAGGTAGTTGTACCCCACCAGGACATCACACAAGCGATAAACACCCGATAATACAAAGTGCCACCATGCGGATGAGGATCATCCGTGGAGATTCTCAGAAACCATTTTCAACCGTTAAGCCATATCTATGGTTAGGCTATAATTTATGGCCCAGATATATTCAGGGCCCCAGGCAAAATCCAGGATGGGGCTTCGAAATAACAAAAAAAATTGCATCCAATGAGGGAACGACTTAATAACATGTGTGACTTAGAGTGATATCTCCTTCACCTTAATAATTTTAATGCAAATGCAAATTAAACACAAAATTGTAATGACAATATTACAAGTTGGCTAATAGCCTATTTGGCCTAGAGAAGTCTGTGAGAATTACATGCGCACATGTTCACTGTTTAAGTAGACTTCTTGTACCAACAGGGGGTTGCCGTGGCAGAACGGTCCTAGGTTCGCTCCCTGGAGGAGCCGGACTTTTCTTCAAAATTGACCTTGGTTCCCAGGTCGACCCAACCTTGAGTGGGTACC